TAGGTAAGTTACACATTGCCGTACATGTACTGATTGCGCTATTGTAACCAAGGTAGATGGATATACTATAATCAAGTATTCGTTCACCCATTGAACATGTTGAGCATTGAGCATTTGTTGCCAATCACTGCTAAATGGCAAGGATAGAATGGGTCCTTTGTGGAGCTCGTTATTGGAGAATGAGAACAAGTTGGTGATTATCAGAGTGCCATGAGGAGAGTGGTGGAGACCTCATAAGTGGTAGTTCCATATGGAGAGAATTTGGGATACTGGTGGGAAAGGAATGGGGGTAGGGGTAGACATCAGGGCTGAGTTAAACTCCAGGACCGCCCCCCCAAAAAAAAATCCTTGGTGGGAGAGTAAGAGTATGCATCCCTCAGCTGTCTCCAGTGGAGACTATCTGAATCCTTATCAGAGACCACAGTTACTGAGAGGGTAACATTTTGCTTTTCCCAACGTACCTTAGGATCTCTTTTCTTTTTTCTAACTTTGCTCATATAATTGTAAAAAAAGTCATTCTATTTGCTAGGTGCTGGTGGCTCACACATGTAAACCTAGCTACTCAGGAGGCTGAGATCTGAGAATTGTGTAAAAGCCAGCCCTGGTATGAAAGTCCTTGGTGAGTCTTATCTCCAGTTAACCACCATAAAACCAGAAGTGGCACTGTAACTCAAAGTGATAAATCACTACCCTAAGCAAGAGATTTGGGACAGTGGCCAGGCCCTGAGTTCAAGCCCCACAACTTGGATTATCCTTGGATTTCCTACTGGATGTGCCATTTGACTACTGCTGATACCTTGACAGGTTTAGTATTTTGGACCAGATCCTCATTGGATTAGGTTACTAATACATGCTTGAGAGGAGGGGCCAGGTAGTATCACTATGAAGTAGATAGGGGACACTGGTAATCTACAGCATGGCAGGCAGGGCCCAGCATGGAAAACATCCAAGTTACCAACAGTGACGGCTTGGAATAAGTTGCAAGGCATTGGGAGATCAACACACCACCCTGGGAGGTGTGACTTGGAAAGATCAAGATTGTAAAATGGGTAACAAACTTGAAGGAGGAAGGATTTCTTGGAAATGTGTGGGAACAAATGCATTCATGATTCCCCAAATGTCCACTAGAGGGCAACCACGGGGCTGGAAAAGATGGTTAGTCCCCAGTCACCCTTTATCTAGCTGTTCCTGGGCTTGTTCAAGAAGTTCATGTTGGAAGAATCAATCCGTGGCTCAGAAAACAGACCAGGTGCAGGAAGAGAAGTCAGGAGCACCTGATGTCCCAGAAAGGAGGAGGAGAGGCAGGAACAAGCATACATCTCAGTCCATGCAAAGGAGTCATTTTTCACTGAAGGAGAGATCAGTCACTGAGACACATTCTGAGCAGGCCACCTAATGCCCCAGTCCTTACACCCTGCAACCATGACACAGCCTTCCCTATGCCTCAGCCTTGCCTCTCACTTAGAGTGGTAGAGTGCTTGCCTAGCATACATGAAGCCCTGGCTTTGATTCCTCAGCACCACATAAACAGAAAAAGCCAGAAGTGGTGCTGTGGCTCAAGTGGTAGAGTGCTAGCCTTGAGTGAAAGAAGCTCAGGGACAGTGCCCAGGCTCTGAGTTCAAGCCCCAGAATTACTGTGTTGCAGTATCCTGGGCTTCTCCAGGAACAAATGTGCCTCTCAGTGCTGCACAAAGCAGCTGTTTCTCATTGTAGAAAAAATTCAGATCAGTCACATCAGGACACACCCTGAGCAGGCCACCTAACACCCCAATCCATAGGACCTACAAACATAACAGTCTTCCCTGTGCCTCAGCCCTGCCCCCCACTTTGGGTCATCAGGTTGTCACCTTTTTTAGCTCTGAGGGAAGCATCAGAACCCTGGTCACTGTCGTCTCCTGTGGTGGAAGAGAGGAACTGGTTAGAGAACACAGGCCTCACTGGAGGAATTCCGGGGTGCATGAGCTCCCACAGGTCCTGTCTGCACCACAACAAAGGTCACCTCCTCCCCCATGGCACTCACTTGCAGCCTTATCATAGCCTTCTCTCTTGTCACCTGTAGGAGAAACACCATGTGAGAGGCAGGACACAAGCAGTACCATGAGGGCCTGGATGAACCCCTAGCCTTGACCTCATGGGAAGTT